TGTGTGTGTGTGTGTGTAAGCCATCTGTTGAGATCTAGTTATACTTTTCTGTGCTTTTATTGTATTCCTTCCTGTAGCTGATGAGGTTTTACGAGTGTGAATGACCCTGTTAGAACAGATAGTCATCGCCTGTCACTCAGCAGTCTGGGCTGAAATGGAGGGGAAGTTGAGTGAAACCCTGCCAGTGTTAGAGGCACTTCTCCACAATATGATCACCATTACTGATCACTTTTAATGTTCTGTGGAATATTTCCATTGGTGACACATTGATCAGGAAGTGTTTAATGATTGAATATTTGGTGGCTGGGTGAGTAGAGGTTGAGTCAGAGAAAGTACAAATATTTGCACCTAAATGTCAAAAATAGTCATTTTATTGGGACAAGGTGCCAAGCTAAACATTAATGAAACATTTCTGTTCACTCCAGCAGGTTGTGAGTTGCACAACCTGGTGTTCACCATGAACTTTTGTTTACTGTTAATCATTAAACCAGCTGCCTGGCTGCCCTTGAACACATACTTAACATTTTTTGGACCCATTTTTTATTAGCACACACTATAATTTGTCATCATAGATGACATGTAAATAATTATTTCTTGGATTGTAAGTCTGGCTCATAAACTGTGCAGCTGTTCTCACAGTAAACACATTAAAGAACTGGAGCCGATACTCCCTTTTTATAGTTTAAAACAGTTTTATCTGCTGAGCTGTAATTCAACGCCCAGTCACATCAGAGCGCTCGGCTGAATTTAAAGAGTCGTCTTAAAGACATGGAAGCAAGCAAAGTGACATTCCTGTCACTATTAAATCCTGACTCAGCTGTGGGTGTAGTGATCTTTCCCCACTGCTGCCCTACAGGTTTGAGAGGTGTTGGCTGCTCGAGCTTGGACATTTGTTTCTCACTCTGCTGATGTGAATGGGCTAATGGGAGGGACAGTAATTAGCAGCTATTAGAGCTTTCTCTAGGAGGGCCATTGCTTTGTCAACCAGCTTCTGTTGCCAGAAAACACGTGTGAATGTGGGTGTTGGTGATCAGGTTTTTCTCCAACTGTCCTTGTTACGTCTTCATGCCAACAAGCCCAAAATGTCATTGCTCTTTGTCAGGTGCTCTAGAGTAGTGGTTTCCAACCTGGGATATATCCTGAAATACATGTGAGCTCTTTCTTGTCATTTTGGAAACTTTAAACTCTTATTTTCTTAAAACAAGTCAAATAAATCTGCCAGTTTTCTAAAATAATTTAAAAAGTTTTAGCAACCTTATTCATTATATATATCTCATATATATCATGTGAAATGTACATGCAGTCCCTTACAAGGAACCTCTCAGAAGCTGTTCCCATTTTTAATCAAATTTTTCTAGAAACAATTTTTGGTAACACTTTACAATACAGCTCATGGTAATAGTGGGTTTGATAATAAAGAGATAATAATTAAGTAAGAATTAACATTTTTAGCAATATAATATGGTAATTTTGACTTCCAGAATTGATTTTAAATGTATTAATCCAAATATTGCACTGATATAACCATGTTATATTGTTACCAAAACATTACTATGCTATTACTGAATAGGTTTGCCTCGTAACTTTCTTTAAATGTGTTGCCCTTTGTTTTTAAATGATTACTCCAAATTTCAGTCGATTATTCTGTATCCGACATAATAGTAATTTGAATTGTCTTGTTCTGGCAGAGGGACATATTGTTCATGGGGAATAAGTGTCTGTGCCTGTTTTAAGTCACAGTCTTCATGCAGTATTAGAGACCACATTTCGTTGGGAGACTAATTTATAGACAAATATTTATTCATAAAGGGAAACATTAATTCTGTTGCTCTTATATGCTTTATCAAATGTTCTCTGAGGTAAGAGAACAATGAAGTTAGCTTTGCCGTGCTTCCATGAACACACCTGAACCTGATTGTGCAGCTGTGGCTACGTGATGAATAAGCCATATAACAGGTTGTAAAGCTTTTGTCTTGGGATATATTGCATTTGTGTGAATGATTAGGCAAAATCCACTATGGTCTTACCCTGAGTTGACCAAATATTATTCTTTCATGCCTCAGCCGTTGTTCATTGTTGTTGGTATTTGCTTCCGACACTTGCTAATGCACTTTAAGCACTTAAAAGGGAAAGTAAGCAGATAAGAACTTTTCTCTGTGGTCTTATGAATTAATTTAATGCCCTACTTGTTTTCTAAATCATGCGTCTATTAGTGAAGATTTTAAAAATCCTCGTCTGTGTGTCCCTTCTGCAGATGCGGAGCCAGAAATAATTCTTTAAGTTTTCCGCTGGCATGCTTTCCTCGTGCCTGACCTGTCAATAATAAGCAGGAAACACAGCATATCAGTTGTCTTTAAACAGATTATCCATGACATGAAGTATCTCATGCATGTGCACAGACAAAGATGAGCATTTGTCTCTTGATTGCTGAATCACAGTGACTGGATTACCAATAAAGCATCGCTATATGACTTCTAGTTATTTGTACAGCATAACCTTGAGTAATACAATGCAAAATAACCTCTTCTACTGTCTGTTTCTGGAATCTGTTTAGAGGGCAGATTCTGCTACAGCTGCTACTATTATAAACCTTTAAACTTCTATCAATAATAATATAATATTAGAACTTCTATCAATAATAATGTGTTTGTTGATGTCATAATTCTGTTAGCATAATGTATAAGGGCTACAACTAATACAATTATTGTTATTACTGGTTACTCTGTCCTTTATTGTCTCAATTTGTCTATGCAATGTCTGAAAATTTCCCACAGCCCAAGGTGACTTAATTATTATTTTTTTGCTGTTTAGTTGCCAGCAGTTCAGACTGTGGTTGTACTGGACAGCTTCCAAGTATGAATGTGTGTAATTGTGTGAATGTGATCCGGGTGTTCCTGAAAAAAGCGAAACTTCCTCTCTATGCACCTTCCCTGAATAAATAAAGCTTTAAAATAAAATGTTGTTTTGTCCAACCTGCCCAAATATTCAGTTTACTATCATAAGACAAAGCAACAAATCCTCTCATTTTAAAAGCTAAGAGATGTTTGGAACTTTTGCTTGAAAGTGAAACTCTGTAACTTTTGCTGAATGACAGCCATTGTGGCCAAAAGTGTCAATTAGTAACACATAAAAAAAAGTAATTCAAAAAAGTTTAAAAAATAATAGTCAGTGAACTGGCTAGGTTATGTCTGTTATACAGCAGTATGTGTCTTGAGTTAGCTAAAATTAGTCACCATAAGCTAGACTGTAGCTGCAAAATCCCCAATTGTATTAAATCGAGTAAAACTGTGTTTTATTACTCATGAATTCCACAATTAAACTGGAAGAGGAAGAATGATATATCACAGAGTGTCACTTAAATTGCAAAGGTAATAGCTTACAGCTTTTTAATAACTCCAATGACTCATTTCCTCATGAATATCTTACTAAGAGACTAACATTGCCAAAGTTTTCTGAAATTAAACAGATAAAGGAGTAAAAGTGAAGATTAAACTCACAATCATCCATTCTGGTTATCAAGTGTGGCACATCTGAGAAAGATGAATGTATGAAAGGAGTTCTATAATCATCCATTAATTTAGTCTCAAAATGGCTTTTTATGGTGTTTATTTGTTGTGTACTGTGAGTTGATTTTGTGGCAAATGAGTTGCCCTTCTGTGGAGTAATAAAGCTGTCTCTTCTAATCTAATTGTGAATGTTTTGTATTTCAAAAACATCAAACTTTAACATTAACATAACAAAACCCTAAAGGATAGGTGCACAAATTTTAATGTATGTCGAAACAGTTGTGCTCATATTCTTATTTTTCTTTATTCTTAAATTGGATCCCCATTAGCTTCCACAAAGTGGTTGCTAGTCTTTCTGGATTCTCTGTGCTCATATGATTTAAACAAATTTTGATTCCTGTAACAATTCCTCCCATTCTTCCTCAAACCTAATGATCTTTCAATGTAAGTGATGAGGGACAAAATCTACAGTCCTCAACTTTTTTTTGTGCAAAAAAAATACTTAATATTTTCCTGTTTAATTTCCTGTTTTTGCTCAACTCAAAACTCAAACATTGTCTGCATAATCACAAAGAGGACATTTTATACTAACTAGAATTTGAAAGATATCTACTTGATTTGACTCAGAATGTTGAAGCCTCATATTAGCTGCAGATAAACTTTGTAATATATATTTGCACAAAACCACTATGGATTTTGTCCCCTGTCACTCATTGAAGAAGAACTAAGAAGGGATTTTTTAATGTCCGATGTAAACAGGATGAATGATAACAGCAAACGCAACCTGATTCAATGTCCATATAGACACCTGACAATTGTGAACCTACTAACACAACAAAACAAACCCCCCAATAATCTATGGACTTCATATTAATCCAAGCCACGTTTAATGTGTAAATAAAAATGTTTATAAATTCATCCATTAATTTATGTAATGACCCCATTAACATAACTGGTTATGTTTAATATATCACAGTGACTGTGACAGCACATTTCATCTTAAATAGGACAGCTATTACATTATGAGGATCATTTAGCTATCAACTGCAATTTATGGCGTTCATTTATCACACTAATGAAAAGATTTGACATTAATAGTTGTTGCAGTGATGTTTACAAACTAATTTTGTCGACTATTTTTAGCCTCAAACTAATGCTTCATCTCACGTTTACTGGTTGTGTGAGGTCTATCTTTGTATTTGATGAATTAACATGAAATAAGCATTTTGTAGTGTGGAGATGGCGGTGCCGCACAACTGATTCCAGTTTGGTCTTTTTGTCCTGTTCTCACATTTTCTCCTTGACCTTCCAGATCCTTTCCTCGGACTGATTCTTGGCAATATTATCACACAATAAATAAAAGACCGTGAAGCCCAGGTCCTTTCCTTATCCTATTCCTTGTGCAATGCCGAAGAGTGACACATGGCCAGGCGGCGTTGCCATGGAATCCTTGAGTAATATGGACAGTGCCGGGAGCTGCGACAGTGTAATCAGCATGAACTCTGGCTATGTGAGTGCTGCCATAGATCTCTGTCCCACTGACTCTGTTGCTTATCTGTTCGTTGTATAACACAAGTCAAGTGTTATAGTCACAGTGACTGGAGATCATTGTTGAACCACACCGGTGCAACTGGGCTCTCAATATTTTGGCAATTATTTTTCTTTGGGCCCTCTGTAGTCTACTAAGTGACTCGATTACATAGGTTTAAGCTGTTATTTGTCAGTCCATAGTATGTTCAGCTGACATTCAGTGATTTAGTTCAGTCATGCTAATCCCTGACCAACCTTCAATTTCTGAAATGTTAAGAATATTTTTGCTAAAGCAACATGCCAGTTTTACTGGCACTAGTTACTCAGCTTATTAGAGGCATTATTGTGCACTTGGCACAGGAACCTGTTCTTATTTAAATCTGTACAGATTTTGATGCTAAGTTTCCAATTTATTTTACCACTGACTGATGATTTCCTATATTATCTTTAACTGTTGCTCAAAGGGATCTTTGTCTTTATCTGCCCTTTCACTTTTCAGTCTGGTTGAACCATTGTAAAGCGTTTTATTCTCCTTGTACAAAATATAACTGTTTTTTGCAAACCCTTCATACAAAATTACATCTATTTGTTAAAAGGACTTGCTACAACCTACAAGCATTAAAAAGACCATTCAAACTGACTGTATTGAATTAAGCTTTTGTGGCAGGTGACCCCAAACCTGTGAGCAGTAGTGTATATAAATATAAGGCAATATCAAATATGTACACAAATGTGAAACAGAAACAGAACAAAAATTGTAAGCCAAAAGCCATTTAATACAAGTACATCTTGAGTTTTCACTGGAAAGGCAGCATTTTAGTGAATATGGAAGGTGATTACAAAGCTCTTGAGCTGCACAACATATCACTCACTTTAGTGGTGCACTAGTTTACTCTGAAGAAACATTGAAAATGCTTCTGTCCTTTGGAATGGGGAAATAAGAACTGAGATTTCTGCATCAGGTTGTAAAGACGTCTGCATGGACATTTGCAGTCAATGTGAGAATGTCAAATGAGAGGAAGTGAATCCGTTAGAGATGAAATACGCTTATTTGTATGTTTTCTTAAAAGCGACCGAAGGCAAGAAGATCTCAAACTATTCACAGACACCTGCAGTCACCTGAAATAAATTGTTCTGACAGGCCAATATAGAATGAGAGATGGCCATAATTAGTCATTCCTTTCAAGCTATTTGAACACTATACAACTTTGACCTATTGTTCCTGTCCTGTCTCTCATGGCCATGTTTATGGTTTAGAGATTGCTGAAGTGTTGAGAAGCAGTTTTTTTCATACCTGTAATATGTTTCACAGTCTCTTATTCCATGTGCAGAGTGAAGACAGTATGGAGCACTTATCTGCAGAAGAGAGAGCGTGCCTCATGTATCTGGAGGAAACGATTGAAGCGCTGGAGGTGCAGGAGGACAGCGGCTTATCCAATGATGAACCAGATTCTATGTTACAGGCAGAAAAAATGGGTCGGATGAGAGTAAATGGTATGTTCATGTTGTGAAATCTTCCATTTGGCATGTTTTCTTAGTTGGTTACGTGTATGTATGTATGTATGTATGTATATGTGCACATTTTACACTAAAATAACAAATATCAATAACTGCAACACTAACTGCAGTAGTTATGCTTTTGTTTCCTAGACATTTCCAGTTTAAAGTCTGACGAATCCGGAAGACACCAGCAACCAGACAAAGCTGAGCATCACGCTCTGAATGAAACCTCAGAACCACAGTCCTCTCCGGACTCCAAGATGAAAGATCTCGAAACATCAGTGAACCTCATGACTCAACCTAAACCTTCAGTCACTGAATCAGTCGCTGAAAACACCCCATCAGCTACTCAGCCCGAGGAGTTGTGTGTATCCAAGGATGAAGACGGTAATCTAATTTTTGTCCCCAACAGCAGGCTTTGCCCAGATGAGCCTACCAAGGCCTCTGAGGTAGATGTGGGCCTGATCCCTCCTCCCTCAGACTTCATGGATGAGCCAAGACCTGTTCCACAGCCAGTGAAGGCAAAAGACCTTCTTCCATCGGCAGGAATATCCAATAACCACCCAGGAGCAACTGTTGACTTGGAGCAGCTACGACAGAGAGCCTCTGCAAAGAAAGTGAACACCCCTGTGACCCAGGAGCCTCCAAACAAGGCCCCGGAACTAAGTCCATTAGCCATCAACTCTGGTCCACAAGTGAGTCCTCATCCTGAAGCCATTGAGCCCAGAAGTCCACCTGCTGTGGCCCCTAAGCCCAAGAAGCTTCCTGCCAACATTATTCTGAAGTCACACAAGGCAGCAGTAGCTGATGGTAACTCGGGACATTCAGTGTCCACTAGCAGTGACCGGGTGTTGTTGGACCCCCAGAGAATCCGCATTGAGGCCCTCCGAAAGCTTGGCCTACTTAAGAGTGAAGAGGCAGATTCAGGCCCCGTCCTGAACCCAAAACATTCTCCCAAAACTAGAAGGTCATGGGCAAGTCCTCCTTCTCCAAACCCAGCGGCTCAACATACACCACCTACGACACCATCCTACACCCGCCTCAACAACCATTCTCCTGCCTCTGTCCCCCTCCAGTCTCCTGCAGCTGTGTCACCACCAGGTCCTTCTACAGCTCCTGCAGTCCAGCCTCCTGATATTTTCCCAGTACCTGCTGCTTTCAGTGACCCTGATGGACCTCTGCTATCAGACAATGAGCTGTCTGCTGTCAAAGATGTTTCAGAGTCCACAGTTAATGCACAGGGGAATACGCCTCCTCGTACCCCTCCTACCCTGGTCAAGCAGCTAACCCCACCCAAGGTCAAAGGTGCCAAATCAGCCACCCTGGAGCGCTCAGGTCTGGGTCTCAGCAGATATGTGGCCACTCAAGACCCCAATGAGGCCAGCCGGGGAGTCAGCGGCAAGCAGAGCCCCAGCCAACTGCGTAACAATCGACCACGCCCCGCCTCTCTGGGGAGTGGGAAAGAGTTTTCAAGCAGTCAGGGAGAGGGTTCACAGGTGGGTCGTGCCACCAGCAAAGAGCCAGAATTACGGAGGTCCCTGCCTGCCTTTCAGCACTCCGGAGACTCTCAGAAGCTGCCCCGATCCCAAGGCATCAGTGTACTGATCTGCCCTCGTGCAGAAAATGGTGATAACCGCCGCGAGGCCCTGAAGAGGCTGGGGCTGCTGAGGGACTGAGGCATCGACCCCAAAGCTTCGACCTCATCTGACCGCTTGCTTCAGATGCTATATTTAAAGGAACAGACAATATATTGATACATGATTGATGAAGACATTACAGAACTCTTGGGAAGCAGCTTAACCACACATTTATGCATTATCATTTACTACAAGGAGTGCCTAACATGACCTGAATACATTGAATGTCATGCCCACACTTAAATGTACTTGTTACTCATATTGTACAGCCATATGTTCACTGTTTTATTTGTCAGAAAACTGGCAATCAAGAACTTTTTGGATATTCACTGACTCTCTCACTGTGCTTATGGTTTTTGTAAATTAAATACTGTTACTTTTAAGAGGCAATGATGAGTTATTTTGTCATTTAATATATTGGTCTACAGTTATGAACCTTTCTGAACATTGTTGTCTGCTTTCACAAGTTATCCTTTGTTACACTGACGTCGCTGTGTGGCTTGTTCTCCTCTTAGTTCTCCTTTTAATACATTTTAAAAGGTCACTTTTGTTAATACTTTCACTTCCTAAAATCAGTTGGAATTTTCTGGCTTTGTTGACCATGGGAAATGTTTTTAGCACTGACTAGATTTTTGTGTACTTAAAATGTACAATCCTTAAGATTTCAGTCCTGGATGATTTGGCCTGTGGTTACTGGTGATAACAATAACAATCCAAAAGCAGCTACATTTTCAGAAATAACTACAGCATAAGAGCAACTGGTCTATGGTGCAGCCAAACAAACTATTGTAGTTTTAATGAAGAAGTCCGGCAATAATTGGCCTTTTTCCATCATCCTACCAAATGTTTGGTTACCTTGCTGAAAAGTTGTAGGTTCGGAACTCTCACCGTGGCTGCTCGTTTTGATCAATTACTCCCTGCAATATTTCAAACTGATCTACTATCAAAACATGTTTTACAGCCGCATTTTTAATACACAATAGTTTATAATACAGCAAATGTAAGGGCTTTCATCAGTGGGCGTAGGCTCAATCATCGTTGTGTTAGCTATTTCAGAAATGTTTATTTCAATAAAATTTTCAAGATTATCACTTGATGTACTGCCTTGAACCTATTTGCTCAGTGCACTTCGTCAAAGCAAGGGGTTTTGCATTATAACTGGAGGGTGTAGATTAAATAAATAAAAATGTAGACAGTATGTCTTGGATTACTCGAACATACCTTACTGTAACTCATAGCACATAGACAGCGGCCACTGTCTGATAAGAATCTGAAACGTGGTTTGCATGGTTGCATAGTGACGCACACGTCAAAGCTCACAAGCTTGTCAAACAGCAAGCATGTGTAGTTTCACTGTGGGTCTGTCAGTTGTACGTGAGCTGATCGAATGACATTTATTACAAGCATTATTTTAATTGTTTGATAATACACTGTCCCACAAGTCACACATTTCTTTAACATGCATTTGGAGTAGGCCATTTGTTGCCTTTTCATTAACTGTGAAACATAAGACCTTGTGTGTCATGTCAAATTACAAATTGAGGCCCCAGTGTTCTGGCTCAGCTTCAGCAACTTTATCTGATGTGATAGCAAGAAAACTGGTGCAACCTGTTTTGTCACCTCATGGTTCAGCCTTTATGCAACACTGTTGCTGCACATTTACCTGCAGACAGTGTGTCTGAAAAACATTTTATCACTGCTGCAGGCTTTTAGAGACAAATAGATATGCTCTTTTCTGTAATTTGCCTTTAAGGTCACCTACTGCTGTGAAAATTAGGCTCAATTTGAAAGATATTTCTCTGAAGAGGTATTAACACCGGGCTGCTGTGCTATAAAGTTTGCACAGAACACAGCAGGGGTGTCTGGATCAACTCAATTTAGCTTCTTTTGGACTAGAACTTAACTTTCTAGACAATTCTGGAAGCCTAAAAGTTGGCAGTGTTTTGCTGGTGGGGCGGCGTTGTGTGTCCAAGCTGCTAATCCATTAATCAGTTAGTGTTCTCACAATCTTTTATTGTGCAATTAGATCTACACAAAGGTGTGCCGTCTCTGAATGACTGCATCAAATGGGACATGCCATGTGATCTGCCAGTGTTAAGCCCTGAAATGCTCTGCACACTTTTTAAGCCTTTTTGTCATTTTGATCACACAGGATTACTCTCAGCAAGTATTTTAATCCATTATGTTATTTGCATGTCCTATATAAACACTTTTCATATGTTTATATATATATATATAGATGTAGATATTTTCCCATATTTTTTTCCAAAGGAAGTAAACCTCTGATCAGTATCTGTCATTGGAGAGAGCCAAGTGAAAGGAAATTTGAATACTGATTTGAATATTTTAGATTAAAGATAAAACACATGCATATAGTTTGTAATAAAGATGAATGAGACACTATTTATGTACCTTCAAGAAAACCAAAAGGTAGTTGCAGGTAAATTATTATTGGGGTGTTGTATTATTATTAGTTTTGCCTAAAGACAAAAGAAGAGGAAGCAGCTACGTCCAAGCCATCCAGTGACTTCTCTGTGGCATGTTGGTATGTGAGCCATCTTTCCTTTCCACCTGCTCTGTCTGTTGTCCCGCTGCCAGCAGTACTGACTGACATGGCCTCAATGACAGTTCCTGTCACTTTCACTGTTACCCTCCTAGGCATCATAGATCGGCATACCATAAGCCAATCAGTCTGCATATCTTCCCCAATTGCCTGCATTCTCTGTGTGAAGGAGGTACAAAGATGTAAGATTGAATTTGAGATGAAGACTTTACAACTCCTAAAGCCTTATAATAGGCATACTACAACAATATAATAGCAAGGCTTCAAAACAGGTAGAGCAGAAGTGTGCTTGTTCATAGTTCAGTTAATCATTCGGCTGCAGAGGTGTTCAAACTGTGAGGTGCAGCCTGCAGGGGGCGCTGAAGAGTTGAAGCAGGGACACTAAGGTGAGGGGAAAGGGACAGGTGCGTTCACCGGAATCAGTACTCATGGCGGAGTGGATGTGATACAGCTCATGGAGGCCGTTAAGGTACTTTAAACCCCTTAGCGCCATGTTGTTGCAAACTAGCCGTACTTCTTCTCGGAGTCCTAACTTAGTCAAACCTGAACACACCGACATGATAGATATATTTAGTTATTTTTTGTGTGACTTATCGCCAATACATGTCCATAAATCCGCGTAGAATTAGAAAACGTGCCATATAAAGACAGAACTTGCCTGTGAATCACTACATTTTTACATGTATTCAGTAGCAAAGTAATGTAGTGGTAGTTTTATGTATATTTATGGGTACATTGCAAACAAGAACTGTTATTTGCTAATTCGGCCTATTGTTTGTGGTGCCAATTTGCCAAAATATAAACAAATATAGGTTTAAACTACAGCAACAGCCCAAATTATGGGGAATTGAGTTCCAAAACTGATTATCCTCCAAATCCAAAATATTTTTTTTGGGTAACTCAGAGTGTCCCATCAACATGGTTGTTAAATCCGCTCTCAGTCTCCTCTGTCCCTTTATATACAGATTCAGTATTTACCCTGTGCTGGTGGAGGCCCCACAGTATCACCCTTTGAAAACCCCTGTTCTACAGAAACAGCTCGACCACTAGAGGGCAGTCTAGATTCATGTGTGTGTACCAGTACAGCTATTAATGCTGTAACAAGACTTCCCCACTGTGGTTGGGTGGGGGGGGGCTCATATGTGCACACAGATGCAAGATATTTGTCACATCACAGGCTGATAAATACACTACAAGTGGACTCAACTCTTCACACAGAGAAAAGTGATGAATTTAAACACTTCCACTTCTGCATACAACTTGCATTGTTTAAAAAAAATGTGGAAAATGGAAACAGAATAGTGGAAAAGAAGTGCATGATACATCTAGGGTTGTAACTAACAGATGTCTTTTGTTTGTGTACTTTTTATGTTTTCTTGATTAAAATCTAATCTTTTTAAGATGATTCATCATGAAATTTCAATTGAAAATTTCATCAAGCTCATTTATATATCATGAAGTCATAACAGCACATAATTTGTGGTTAAAGGACACAATGAGGATTAGATTGCATTCACTGTTGAGCTGGTAAGTTTTTACATTCAGAAATTCATAATAAACTGTAATATAATAATTGTCATCATCTAATTTATTTTGACCGAAGGGAAATAAGTTTGCATTAACAAGTTTATTACTGCCAAAAATGCTAAGCAAAAACTTGGTGACTTTAACTCAATTTCCATTTTATTTGCCTCATATTTCCTATTTTTTAAGTATGGTCATTCAAAATGTGGTAAGATTTTTGGATTTTGCCTCTGCGATAATGAAATTGGTTCACTTATTAAAATTTGTTTCAGCTGTTGATTCATTAAATGTCTCATAAAAGTGGCTTTTGTGGGGGAAACAGGACCTGTTGTATTTTAGAATTTTTAATTTTCTGTACAGACCTTCCTTTATGCAATAAGCAGTTCTTTTTAACAGATTTCTTCTCTACTGCTTATGAGGTCATATCAGCCCTGACCTAGTGTGACTCTGAGAGCTCAGCTTGGTCCTGAGCTGCAGTTTTTATCTTTCCAAACAAAATCTCTTTGTGTTTTCCCTTCTAGAGGAAATGATTCAGGTCAGAGTATTAGCAAAGAATGAAGAATTGAATTGAATGTGGGGGCGATTTACTGGAAGGTTGTACTCATCAATGTGTCACAATGACCCTTACACATAATCATCATTGAATGGAATCTTAAATGTTGTCTTAGACTAGTTAGAGGAATGAAACAAGGCCAGAAGCTTGAAGGTGAAAGTATTATTTAGTATTTTATGGCACATATACATGAGCTAAACCTCCACAAAGCTCCTTGGAGACACTCCCTGGTGTTAGTAGTTGGAACAGGTAGGCGTAGCTGCTGCGCTATCAGGCTAGACAGTGAGCTCATGGGACTTCCCCACTGTCCTGGTCCTGTTCTGTACTTACCTACTTACATAGTGTCTGTCTGAAAGAAGCCGCCAAAAGCATCGTCCCTTTCTCCACATATGAGTTGATCATAGAGGATTAGTGGAGACAAAGTGGCAGAGAGCCACTGCTGAGTGTGCTGGGGTTTAAGCATGCCCGGCCCAGTTCTGTGTCATCAAAAGAGTTTACTTAAAATATACGGGTATTATCTCTCTCTCCTCTGTGTGGGTGTGTGTGCGTGTGCACATTCAGATAGGCAGTAAGTACTGTTATACAATTTAGTTGTATGATGATGATTGATACTTTAAATGATACAGGCTCATCAGTAAGGATTAAACTTAGGATCTTAACAGGACGATGTCTCCCTCTCTGTCTCATTTGATCTTGATGAGTCCACTTGATTACAGGTGCTCACACACACTCACACACAGCAGATACAGTACGCGCACAGGCCTGTATCCCCTCCAGCACCCGCATGCTTACTCACGCAGCTAACAAGCCTGTCCGTATCTTGTCTACCTCCCTGCTGCATTAAGACTCAAGGTAATATGACTTAGGAAAACAAGCCCCCATAACCCAGAGCTTGAGGGTACTGTGGTGACAGCGCTCATTAGAAAGGTTTTAACCCATGTCCAGTGGTGTGATGTTACAAATGCAACACGACTTAAATGCCTCTTGTGCCACTGGGGTCGTTTTCATCCATGATGCTGCAAAAGTAGTCTTTCAGTTAGAGTGTCTGTGTGTGACACCGCCGCTTCTTCTGACTTGATAACTGTATTTCCTTTTTCACTCTCCCTCTCTTGCTCCCTGTTAGTGCCAGTGACTGAGGCTGTGGTCAGGAAGCATTCCTGGGGCAAGCCCACAGCATTCGCTGGGATGCCTGTAGTGAAGTGTGGAACTCAGCAAGCCACTCTGCTCCCCTGTGGTGCTGGCATGGTGAGTACCAAGAGATCCTGCTGGGCCTGCGGTGGTGTTGGTAACCTCGCATATGAAGCCCCTGTAGAAGAGAGAAAAAAGAAGGGAAGAAAGAGGAAAAACTTATGCGCTCTGAGCCTCTGCATTTTCACACATAAATCTTTCAGACAATTGGGGAGCATAAATGTCGGACTGGAAGAAAGTAAATGAGGAGCTGAGGTGATGTGTCCCTGTGTATGACCATCTGGAAGAGAACATTAGGCTCTCCGCAGGGCTTCTAACTCCTCGATTCATTAGCATGCAGTACATTGGTGGCTCTCACAGACGCCTCCCAACATGCATCCATCTTGCGTTTATCTTACGGCAACAGCTGTTGGAGCATGGTTTGACTTCGATATTTTAGAGTCTAAATAAAACGTAGGTTGTTACAACACTGTCTAAAACAATTGGTTGCCAAATAAACTGTTTGTCTTCTGATGGCTGAAAAGTGCAAAATTCTGAGTTTCTAAATAACAAATTGTGGCAGTTGTTAAATGTGGCACATCTCTGATAATCATAAATTTTTCATATCCAAATAGTGCCAAAACTATAACAAAAGTTACAAACTCATTGTGCCTTCAAATCCGGTCAAATCCAAAAAGAAAACAGGTTGCGGTCAGCTACTCTGCAGCAAATCTCACAAACAAGCTCCATAAAAACAGTGTCACTCTGTCTGAAAAGGGGTGTAATACTGCTTTGTTTGACTTATCATCTATGAATGATCCTCGCCGCTCTCTCGACACCTTCCACACTTTCCTACTCCTCTTCACCCAGTGTGTAGCTGAAGTCCTTTTCATGACGAGCATCATAAATTAAACATGGCCTCGGCTTCCCTTGTGTGTCTGTCGGTGTAAAAATAGCTTGGTTTGGTGCACAGTGTGATGCCCCGTGCACAGTCCTCTGTCTTTAATGAAGTGTTGCCATGAAAAGTGTACTGATCCTCCAGTGTGACTTGTACTCAGGCTCTGTGGCAACCGTGTTCTGACTTTCTCAAACTCCCAGAGTGACTCTGAGCTCATTTGGTTATACAAGTGCTCACAATTACCCAGAGATTTGGACACAGGGACATGGGATATTTCCATATCCCTGACGGATGTTATTTTAATTACACTGAACTGCTTGACTTTGTGCTGTGGATTTACATGTTTTTTCTTCTTCTGTGGATGCAAAGAGGGTTTCTTGGAAGGTTATTCTGTTGTACTGAATCTCTTATTTATTGAGGCCCCTAGTCTGTGGCATGGGAAACAGTATTAAATTGCACTGTTTATCAGATATCTGTCTTTGAATTTAAGGTAGTTGCATTTGAACACAGTCTTTAAGTAAACATAATGACAAAATTCTAATAAGATACAAGATAATGAAAATGTATCCTCTCTCCTCCCTTTCTGGCATCAGCCACAACTCTATTTTCAGATTGTGTGTGTTTTAAAATTCTCTCTGTGGTCTGAAGAAAGTAGAGTTGTTATCTCCAATCAGCCTCATTGTGAGACCCTAATTATATTTGATTGAGAAAAAACAAAAATCACACATGGGAGCAGGCGTGTTAATTATAGTGTAGGATCTGCCTGTACATTGAAATGCAAACACAAATGCATCAACACAGCTGATTAATTTAGCTGATAATGCAGGAGGAGGTGGCAGGTGTGGGGATACAGATGCTTTTCTCTTGCAGGACGCTTCCTGAAAACAAATGCTTCATATGTCATTGCCGGTGAAATGTGGCACAGTCGCTCAGTGGAGCTGTTCTGCTGGTAATGTGAGAGAGGTCTGTTTTGATTCATGTAACTCCTCAAGCCTCATTCCTCTTCTGGTCTTGGGGGTAATGGTGTGCATACTGTGCCTCATGAGCAGTGATTTGCAGGCTGATAGTGGGATTTAAAACGTAAACTGTCTTTAACCCATTCAACTTCAAAATTCTTAATTTAGTTTAGGGCAATATAGTCTTTTTACAACATGCTTCAGACATACCTGAGTGAATCTCCATATCACAGATGTTTTACACCAGGCAGGGTTTTAGTTATTCAAAGCCAGGAGCAAGAAATCAATGAGCGAAATGTGGCAGTCGAGCCGAATCCCCTGCAGGGAAAAACTCAATACTCAATACTGACGAGCGGATAATGTGGTGTTGGTTATGGTTTTGGAACCAGATGACACAAAATAATATAATTTGTCATGTTTTTTTTGTTTTTGGTCCCTATACCAGATGATTATTCAAATGCTTTCATCAATGTTCCTGTAAACAATTACTGATTGTTAGTTATCATACTCGAGGAATTGATTTCATCATGAACTGTATTTTGAACAGATGTTGTAGTTTATTCATTCGGCATAACTTAGTATCTCTCAACGGGGTTTTTCATTAAAACAAAAATCATTTCCTTCATGTGCACATTTCTATACAAGTTACAAGTTCACTTGGATTTCAGTTCTTCATGCAGGTCCAGCTTCAGCTATAACAGGAATACGAAATTGCTCAGGGCCCCCAATTGACCTTGGAACAAGGATGATATGCAGCTAAATCAGCTGAGGCTTAAAATAAAAAAAATGTAGGTGTTCATTTTCAAGTTTCGTAATTTAGTACTTAAGTCTGTCAGCTGAACTTTCAAGTCCATTCTATATACAGTTTTTGGGGATAGAGATGAGTTTAATCTTATTTTGGGCTCTAAATTAAATGTTTTTTTGGAGAAAGAATGGACTGAAATTGTAATATTTTATATTTTTAGTCTCGATTTGACTTTTTCTCCCATTTGCTGTTGCCAAACGGGTTTAATAAGAACATTAATCTACCATCAGTGAGATAGCAGACGTCATCACATCAATGCTGCACCCACGACCTAATAGAAATTGGCGCGTATTGGTTTGTTAGTCTGTATGAGCTGTAGCCTCACACACAGTCTGCAGGGGCTAAGAACAAAATGCAATCTCCTGGCTATTACTTTTCCCATCTGTGTCATTTATAAATCCATCCGCCCTCTTGCCCCCCTTCCAGCCATTGCTTTTTACCACGCCGCGTCGTGACGGGACACTTTTTTTCCTCCACATTTTGCGCAGGTGGCACCGGCCAGATGACCGCACGAGCCACCGTGCACGTGGTAGTCCCGGTCCACCTTCAGCCCAACTAGCACCTGTGTGTGTAAATTCCTGCAGGACAAAAAAAGGAAACGGCGAGGGGCCAGTGAGAGAAGAGAAGGAGCAGCAGAGGAGTCCGGAGCGCAGCGCGGACGCTTCTTCTTCTCTCCTCCCCCTTCAGACCCCGCCGCTCCACTCCATCTCTCCCTCTCTCTTTTCCCCTCTCTCTCCCGCACGCTCTCTCTCTCTCTCTCTCTCTCTTCCTCTCTCTCTCTCTCCCCCTTTC